AAAAAAAAAAAAAAAATAAGCATGTTAGTACTTCTATAATCAGAAAATACACAATGCTTTTAAATATTCAAGTCTCTTTTAAAAGAACTGAAACAGGCCATTGACCACTGCCTAGAAAACAGAAAAAAAAAGTGAAAGCCAAAAGTCTTTGCTATTGCCAAATTTTTTTTGGAGACAGGGTCTCACTCTTGCCTGGGCTAGAGTGCAGTGAAGTCACCATAGCTCACGATCTCAAACTCCTGGGCTCAAGCGATCCTCCTGCCCCAGCCTGCGGGGTAGCTGAGACTACAGGTGCATGCCAACACGCCCAGCTACACTGCCAAACATTTTTAATATGCAGCTTTCAACAAACCTATGCCATGAACACTGAACAAAATCAGGAAAGGAAGAAGAATAAGATATCAGATATCCATGAGCTGCTTTAAGTGCACAGTAATATTTTAAAAATATATTTCCACAGGATCACAGAAGGTGGGCCGGGTAAGCAGTGTACTTCTCATTTCTTCCAGGGAAAGAAAATGGCAGAGCAAAGACGTTCTCTCACATTCGGAGGTGGCAGACTATTCTTCCTGGGGTCGGCAGAAAACACAGATTAGACGAAGCAGCAAGGCAGTGCTGGGAGACTTTGAAAGCCCAATGAAGTGTGGAGTTAGAGCTCTGTTCTTAAAACAGACACAGGAAAACTAGGAAATTTAGTCGCCATGAACAGTAGCCAAACTTTTAACAAGGTGCTTAGTTTATGCTTCAAGTTTTACTTTCTTATACAGTAGAATGCTAAAATGGTTCCTCTTTGAGAAGGCAGCCAGCTTCCCCTTCCAAAGGAACTCTAGAGGCTACAGGCTTAGGCCAGGAATCCTGCAGAGAGAGGAAGCCGTATCTGTGCTTGCTTAGCTGTGGCGCTGCTGTCCTCTATTAGAGGAGACTGAGACAAACAGAATATTTACAACCCAGTGAGCTAAACAAACTAACTCAGAGCTTGTAAACCATCCTGTAGAAAACTGCAAGTCATAAAATACAACTATTGTAGGAAGTAATGTTATTAATAGTTCATAAACTGCATTAGGTATTAATCATTCAGGTTTAATAGACTCATCTAATTTATTAAGTTTTTCTTTTCTTTCCTTATTCCTACCTATATTCTTTTTTTTTTTTTTGAGACAGAGTCTTGCTTTGTTGCCTGGGCTAGAGTGAGTGCCATGGCGTCAGCCTACCTCATAGCAACCTCAAAGTCCTGGGCTCAAGCAATCCTTCTGCCTCAGCCTCCCAAGTAGCTGGGACGGACTACACTACAGGCATGTGCCACCATGCCCGGCTAATTTTTTCTATGTATTTTTAGTTGTCCGATTAATTTCTTTGTATTTTTAGTAGAGACGGGGTCTCGCTCTTGCTCAGGCTGGACTAGAACTCCTGACCTTGAGCGATCCACCCGCCTCGGCCTCCCAGAATGCTAGGATTACAGGCGTGAGCCACCGCGCCCGGCCCCTATATTCTTTTAAATTTGTGTTAAAGATGCTTCTGGAAGTTCTTTGAACTGAAAGCTCTTCTTACATTTCTAATAAGCCAATTAATGGGATTTTATAGTTGAAAAGAAACTTAGAGCACAGATAGAAAAGAAACCACTTACCTTGTAGCTGAGGGTTCACAAATAGAAGTTATTTTTATAAATAAAGTACAACTGACCAGATTACATACAAATTTTGACATTTTCAGTCATTCATACCTGGAGGCCACCTCAACTATCCCATCCCTAGGTCTTGGATCTGGTTAGAAGTGCTAGCCTTGAAAACCCAGACTTAACAACTTCACACCAGACGTCCAGCTTGGGAGACATTTGGCCAGATGCTCTGTTATGCTCTCCTTTAAATTTAGACACACCTGAATTGTTTTCTCTAGCAAAAGAATTCAGAATTACCTATTTTTATTGGAACATGGGTTACTAAAATTAAAAAAAAATTTAATTGACAAATAATAATTGTATATGAGGTACAATGTGATATTTTGATATACATACATATTACAGAGCAATTAAATCAGCTAATTAATATATCCCTCACTTTAATTATCATTTTATTGTGCTGACATTAAAATCTATGCTCGCGTCCTGGGAACTCTAATATTGGGTCTGATCCTCATAAATTTTCTGATTCGTTTCATCCTTCCTGGAGGCCACCAAGCTTCAAATGGTCCCATGGTCTCTACCAGCCCCAGTGCCTACCTCCTCCTCGCACCTACAGCTACAGCCGTCTACCAAGGACATGTACCAAGGTCCCCTGGAGACCCCCCTGGAGAACCTGCAAGAGGCCACTCTAATAGGGATCATCACCCCCACTCAGCAGGAAGCAGAAAGATGAGTTCATGCCCCTACCAATTCTAGAGTAGAGAGTGGGGAAAGGTTAGGTAGATAGTGAAGGATTCCAGCTCTCATAGGGACAAAGGTGGGCATCTAACCTTGGTGCTGCCTCGAGCAATTGCCCCACCTGGGAAGAAGGACAAGGATGGGCACCCCCTCTTGGTGCTGCTCTAACCTTAATCCTGCCCCGAGCAACTGCCACACCTGGGAGAAGGAGGAACCCCTGCTCATCTGCAGAAGAATGCAGGGAGTCCCCCAGCCCAGGCAGCCCAGGTGCAATAGGGTCTGAAAAGTGACCTAGAGTAACCTAAGGCAATTATCATGTCGTTAACTGTCCATCAAAGTGGTTTAGTGACGGCATCTGAACCATGAAAAGGGCCCAATCCAGATACTATAAAACAGGACCCCAGAGCCTCTTGTTACAAAAGGGGTCTGTTTGTAGTCTGTGGTGAAAGTACCTTGTTCTTGCTCTGTAAACCTATCTTGCCCTTCCTCAATAAACTTCGTTTCACGCTTACAAAAAAAAAATCTACTCTCATAGAAGTAGAGAGTAGAATAATGGTTACTAGAGGCTAGGGGTGGGGAGAGATGTTGGTCAAAGGATACAAAGGTTCAGTTAAACAGGAGGAATGTTTTCGTGTCTATTTGAGAGCACGGTGACCATAGTTAATAATAATGTACTGTATATTTCAAAATTTTCCTTTTTTATAACCAAAAAATCTGGTTTTTCAATGAAAACAGCAAAATCATTACTGAGTAGTTCTATGTGCTCGATCACTGGTCCTTACACTTTCAAGGTCCCCTCAATTTACAGAATACTTTCACGCCACTGGAATCTAACAAAGCCACCTAGTGGGTCTGAGTCCCTTCACCGTCACGACGGGCAGCTGAGGGCCAGTCCACTGTGTCCTTTACTTTGTCCCTCACCCAGGGCCCTGTGCAGGCTGCTCACCGGCTGAGTTCTCCTGCTTGAGGCAGTGGATGGAGGTTCTCTGGGTTTTGGGCTGGAGGAGGAGCAGGAGCACGGGTTCAAGGATGCGTGCCACATCCCCAAGGGAGAGTGCACGCACCAGCCAGCCCTGGGCTGCTGCGCTGATGGCACCATCTGCGCAGGCCAGGCTGTCCAGCACGACGAACAGGGACCTGCAGGTGGGAACCGCACCACTGAGTCCACACCAGACGCCCCAGTGTGCCAGGCCCTATGGCAGACATTTGGGCACATGTTGTCGAACAACACGGACAACTCAGGGAGCGTCAGCCAAGCTGGACTCACAGACCCCAGCAGGTGAGGCCAAGGAGGACACAACCTCAGTGTCATGCTGCCTGGGCTCACACCTGGAGTTTCAGAGACACAGTAGGGCACTTGGGAAAAACAACGAGTAGAACATACCCGCAATAAAATTCCCATCTTAAGCATGTAATGACGGGACAAGCACATACACGCAGTGCAGTTACCACCCAAGCAAGGCCTAGGCCATCTGCATCTCCCTACAAAGCCCCTCATGGGGGGCATGTTGTATAAGCCCCACTGGTGATTCCGGAGCGTGGTGGGCTTTGGGCTTCCTCACGCCGCGACCAACCTAAGAAAACTCCTAACGTGTCTTCACGTGTTCCCAGATGAAATTCACTTAGAGAATCTGGGAACCATTTGCTGCACACCGCAGGGCTCATGGTCACGTCAGGGTCATGTTTCAGGTTTTCAGTCGCACACGCCCCTTCCTCCCCACTGCTGAGCAGCGAACTCTGCCCTGCCTCCTTTCGCATTGAGGGTAAATCGCAATGAACCTCACCGATCAAAGGAGCGATTGTGAGATGTCACTCGACTGCCTTGGATCTCTCTCGTCAGGTGCCAGATCACGGAAAATCTAAACAGAGCTTCCAACCTGGTTCCCTTGATTAGGAAATAAACAGGAGTGAGGAACTTGGTTTTGTCACCGAACACTGTCTTCAGCCGCAGAGAACCGCGTTTCAATAACGGATGAAAGATGTCAGTAGAACTGACAGCAACCACGGCAAAGATGCTATATTTCCACCTGCTGGACGTGGCCAGAAGGAAAGGAAAACCCGCGCCCTCTCTCCGCTTGCTCACTGTGACACAGACGCATGCTTCGTAACGTGCATGTTCAGGGCGCCACCTTGGTCACAGGTGTCCAGGGTCACACCTGAGGCCTGTGGCCTAAGGAAAGCACTAAAGGACACGGCTTCCTCGTGAGCCTTGGAAGTGTCAGGCCCAAGTGCCTTAAAGAATGAGGCCACACACTAGACTGCAAAGGAAGCCAGGGACAATAAATTCTCAGTAAATTCTTAAAGGGACAATGCATTGCCTATTTTGCCAATAGCTCCAGAAGCCCTGCAAGTATTCATAGGGAGTTTGGGAAGATTTCCCCAGTGAGCCTTAATATGGACACAGACCACATGTATAGGTCTCTAAAGGGGACGCCTAAAATCCTAAAATCCTGTCACACCTCAGCTCACCGATCAGGATGTCCACTGAGCCACAGAAAGACTTCAGTTGGATGCATGCAAGTCTGCCTTGGGCATGTAAAGCAGTGGGCTAGCCCAGCAGCCAGGGTCGCTGCAGGGTGGAGGTGAGGGGCTGAGAAGACTCACCTTGTCCGGGTCCAGGAGGGTGTGGCAGATGATGTCCTCGCAGATGTTGGCCGTCGGGGCCAGGCAGTGCAGCCGGTAGAACAGTTCTACACAGGTGACATGATGTTCCCGCGTCTCCTTGTTCAGCTGGTTCCAGAGCACACGAGCCACCCTCTGGGCCAAGGGAAAGGCAGGCAGGGACGACGTCAACACAGCCGACACCTGCTCCTCTACTCCTCACTCAGTACAGTCCCCAGCCCCAATGTCCTGGCTTTTACCTGTATTTGCTATGCAAGAGTCCTTCACAGCCAGAGACACACTGCCAACAAAACAAAGCAAAAAAAACCCACCCAAAGTCATCCAGGCAATGTTACAGGTTAAACTTGGAGGTTTCTGACTGCCTAAGAGCACTGCAGCTCTTGCCTAGACCGTAACATTACTTTCAGAAAGAGAATCGACCAGAAACTGGCCCCGAGTGGTTGAAGCATTCTTTCCACAAGCGCGCACCTGGCCTCACCCAGGGCAGGTGCTGGGAATACACAGATACGCCCTCTGGGCAATTTGGTGGACGGGCAGTGTACCATAACAGGTGGAAATTATTTAGCAACTCAAAACAACTACTTAGAGTCCCTGGAAATTATTCGAAGAGCATTCAGGAAATAAAGGAACATTTATTTAAGAGAATCTACAAATTTTGGTAAGAGCAGCAAGATGACCTGCTCCTGATCCCCAGCTCAGCTTGACGGAAACTCCACTACCCACTTTGGTGGGTACGGCCAAGACGACGGGGTGTGCTCTTCCCCCAGCTTCCAGTCAAGGGCTTTCACATCTCCTGGGAGGGGCAGGCCACCAGCCTGTCCTCTTCCCACTCCTCTGCTCTGAGTTGCAGAGGTTAAACCCAGGTGAGTACAGCGGAGGAGTCAAGGGCTCTTTGCCTCTACTCAGCCCCTGCTCTTAGGCGGAGGCTCTACCCAGGCAGGACAGGCCAAGAATCTTGGAGCCCCATCTGCCCTCACCATAGCCTGCCTGTAGGGTGAAGTCACATGCTAGGAGAGGCAAGCTCTGAAGACCAGAGGCTACTGCCCCTGCCCAGGGCCCTGTAGGGATATCACTCCAAGAGAAGCTGGCTATTTTCCCTATCCCTAGCTCTTCCTGAGCAAATGGGTTCAGAGATTTTGCTCAGGGGCAGATGCTGTAAGGGAAATTCATTCGTATAGGCAATAGGTTTCTTAAGCCAAACTAAAATAATTTCAGGTGCGTCTTCAGCTGGCCTTCTGGGGAGGCATAAGTCAACATACTTATGTAACAAGGTGTTATCTCCTATGTGAACCCATGTGATATGCTTTCCCACGGCATGTTGCCACTATTGTTCTGAGCCATATATAAGTGCTCACCATGTCCTCAGTGACGCTCTCGGCCATGCTCTTGCCATAGCTGCATCCCACCGACAATAAAGAACACGTCTCATTTGCCCGCTACCACCCATCTCTTCTTTCAACTCCCAACTCCCGGAAGCCTGCTCTGGTGCACTCGCTAGCCACAGAGCCCACTCCCACAGATGTAGGTCAGAAGAACAAAGCATCCCATAACTCTCCCTAAGAGAACTGAATTTGTCTGGGAACAGAGATGGGCAAGTTCAGGCGTAAGAGTGCTCTCCAAAGCAATGGAGATTTTGGTTCTGAGCAATTAAGAGAAGGCTGGTAGCTCTACAACACCAAGTTAAACCAGAGGCCAGCTTGTTTCCCAGAAAGAACTAGAGAAAGAGACAGTTATAAAGAACCCTCTTTGGTCAGAACAAATCTCAAATACTGGCCTCAAAAACTACCCATGCAAAGGTGTGTACATTTAATTGTATCAGACTGTGGAGCAACTTATGCCCCAGGGCACTGTTGAAAACCACAGAGCAATCAACCAGCAATCAGCTAACAGATTAGGTCGCTGCTAAGACACCATCATCTCAGGGTAACTGTACATTCCCAAGGCTGTACCCTTTGAGGAACAACACCAAAGGCTTCACTCACACATCAGGGGAAACGGACTTCATAAAAATAGTCTAGCCAAGTCAATAAATAAATAAATAAGCAAAGACAACAATGAGCCCTGGTGGGAGGTAGGGAGTGTCAGAAAACAAAGTTGCTACAATATATTAAATACTATCTAAAATGTCCGGTCTTCAACAAAAATTATAAGACATGCAAAGAAACAAAGTATGATATAGACACAGAAAAAAATGCAGACAACAGAAGCTGTTTGTGAGAGCAAAAAGATGTCAGATTTAAAATGCAAAGACATCAGAGCAGCCATTATAAATATGTTCAAATAGCTAAA